GCACAGTTCCATGCGCTGCTACATGAAAGAGACAGGAGAGACCAGGCAGAGGAGCTGCGAGAGGAACAGAAGCCACTGCTGCAACAACTACTGGTGTAAATTATAAACATGTTGCTCACATCCAATTATTGGTAGGGACAATTAGGTCGGTTCAAAACTTTGGTAGGGACATGTCCCTATGGTCCCTATGCAAACCTACGCCCATGACACACGTATTATTACACAAGGTAGCCTGAGAAATGCCAAGCTTTGCCGCAGCATCTCGTTGGTTTGTTTTGGCAACTCATCATATGCCTCGAGGAGACTACGTTTTTCATTAATAGAAAATCATGACCTTGTTCCAGTCATGGCTTGCAAACTAGTTCTACCTGCCTGGTCATCAACTTTTTACGTTTGCTAGCTAGGCAGAAGGAGATGCCCAGAAAGGAATTATGGGAGTAAAAAATAAAATAACTAGGCTACACGTAATTTTAAAATTATTTTTGCACATGTTTACATTCATATAATGGCCAAAAATGAACACTATAAGGGGATTTCTTAATTGCTATAAATGAATTATTTAAACAGCATTTGTATAGAAATGATTCTGTCCCAAGCCTTTTGAACACTATAAGCGGCTCATTACTATATCCGTGACCACTATAAGTGGATTCCACTGTATTACACTTTGTTCTTCGGTTTAGGAAACCGCTCTCATTCCATTCCCAAATCTTTGCCACGTACAATATTAAGATTATAACTGTATATACCTGGACCGAGGAACTGGTCTAATTAGATGGACTACTGGGGGAAAAAATCAGTTCTAACACGCAACAGGCAGCTAATTAAGGTGTAATAAACTCACACATCATTAATGATAATTATCCTAACCTTATTTAGTCATTCCACTAATGTTTTCAATGAATCTGTGATCAACCTCATTTTCTCTCAAGAAAAGCTGCAGACCTTAATTTAGCTTGATAATTTACACTTGACTTAACATAGTCGTACCAATGTGGTTTATGCACAACACCTGAATTTAAGGCAGCTCTCTCGTTTTAACTCTTACTGGAAGAAATTATTATTCCTGATGTGAAGAAAGTCAGAAAGTAACAGAGTTAAGCGTAGAGCCCATTGGGCTTGGTTTGGCCTTTATAAAACAGACAAAACCAGGATCACTCATCACACTGGTTCAAGCTTTGCGTTTTCTCATCTTGAATTTTTTAATTCCACTTTTGGAAACATACCTCCAAGCATGAGGAGCTAAGCCTAAGTTTTAGCAAATACATTGAAACCCTAAGATGTTATAAACTGTTGATGTTTTCAATGAGGATTTAAAACCTGCACGTTTACCACAATGTACTGGGTTTTCATTTCTACAAAAGCCTACCTTTTTTTATTTTAACATATTTTAACATGGTCATCACTGTTGGTCTTGCATATGCTTCCTGTAATCTACCTTGAAAAGCCTGTTATTCAAGGCACTCATGGTTCTAAACAAATAACATACCTCTCCTTCAACGTGTTTTATTATTAACAACATCCTTCTTGGTTTCGTTTCTTTACTAGAAGAAACTAGATCAGCTTGTATGTTTCTTCCATCCTGTATTTTCAGCCTTGATCCATTTGGAGTGTTCACTAGGTTGCACAGTGGCTGTTTAACATAAAAAGGCTGTAAACGTCACTTGTATGTGCAAACATTTTAACAAACAATACCTTAAGGGTGGGAATTGTTGGTGTCAGAAACAACATTTTGAAAACTGACATGCCACTCAGTTTAAAATGTGAAGCAGGCCTCTTTAGATAGATTTTCCTGTTCCCCATCAAAGCTTTCCTGACAATCAGGTTGGTTCATTACTATGTGCAACATATGAAATGTCTGTTTTGTGTTGATTCAGTGATGATCACCTTTCTATTCTTTGTTCCCCTTGAACCCTATCCTTAAAAAAAGCCTTGCATCACAAATTTTTTTTAGACAGACCTTGTTGTTTTTCTCCTTGAAAGCTACCAAAGCTTTTGGACTGTTATCAATACTTTTGTATTTTGCAGATTTTCCGAAACAATTGGTTGTTGGCCCAGTGTTGGTCAATTTTTTAATATAAGTTTAACTGTTACCTCCACTAAATAAAATTTTGAAATCTCTCTGAACTTTGTTATAATAATGTTTTATTATAACAGCTGAACTGTATTTACTGATTTAATTGAGGTGTTGTTATCTGCTAGGTACTCAAGTGCGTCAGTGTGTGATTTGTCATGTTTCTAAAGAAGTAGGTTTATTTCTGCCTACCACTTCATACTTGCTTTGCATATTTTTTGACATTTACTAATGTGCTGAGTTTCACATTTCAGCGCATAGCAGCAAAAACCTCACCTATTACATGCTAAACTTGCTGTTCGGCACTCACTGCTTTGAGAAGCTTTCAACCAAATCAAACAAGCTAAATATTTTCCGCTCTTATGCAACTTGGAAATGTATGTGAGTTTCAACCATGACCTTGGGAGAAGAAGACCGAAAGCAAAACCTTTGTAAATCAATCCATAATATATATATATATATATATATATATATATATATATATATATATATATATATATATATATATATATATATATATGATCAGTATATCATATAGTGTTTTGCTTCTTTACTCATTTAACTGCACACACCATGCCTGGTGCTCAGCATTTATAAGCCAAATTTTATTTTTATGATGCACATGGTAAATGGCATGTACTTATATAGCACCTTTATTCAAGTTAGGAGACTTGACCAAAGCGCTTTACACTACATTCATTCACCCATTCACACACACACTCACACACTGATGGTGGCAAGCTACATTGTAGCCACAGCTGCCCTGGGGCTCACTGACAGAAGCAGGGCTGCCGTACACTGGCACCACCGGGCCCTCTGACCACCATCAGTAGACAATGCAGGTCTTGCCCAAGGACACAACGACACCGAAAGTCGGAGTCAGGGCTTGAACCGTCAACCCTCCTACATCCAACGCCACTGTCGCCCTGTACATCTCTAAACCAGTCACCCAGACATCTTCTAAAGTAAAACACAAAAAATCCAAAAGACTTAAATGTTGTTTCATCTCTTCTGCATTAATTGGAATGGAATTAATATACGTATATACTTTCTCAACATAGAAGTTGCAAAAAAAAAAAACTGGATTATTTTTTTTCTTACAAGTAAGGTGCCTTAATGGCAGAGCAGTGAAATGTCTCTGTTATGCTTTGATTGTTGTGTTTTGGTTTTGGACTAATTACTCCCACTCTAGGGTGCATTTCCCTTTAATCACTCTGCAGCCACCAGTCAGTAGCTTAACTAGTTCCAGCTGCTGTCTTTGTCCACCTGCGTCACTCTCCACTTGCTGCCAGAATGTAAACCAATCCCCCTGCTTGTATGTGTTTCTAGAGGTTTGCTAATCTTCTGGTTTCTGCAATTCACCCTTCTTGGAAACTTAGCAGTTTCTGGTTACAACCACCTTGGTAGCTGCAGGCCACATCTGACCTTCTGGGCAGCTGTAGGCCACGTCTGACCTTCATGACTGCAGCTGAAAGTTGCGTCTGACCTTCTCTCCAAACTGAAGTCTAGCCTGGCGAAGTTGGCTAGTCTGGTGCAAGTTTAACTCTGCATTTACCGTCGGACTCAGTCCCACTCTTCTCCAGGACCTGCCTGCCTTGCCTTTGTCTGTAACATCCTCAACCTTGCCAATAATGGCGAATTTAAACGTCATATAGTGTCGGCTTGAATTACTTGATTCAGCATGCTAAAACATAACAGTCTCAGTGTGTACGATTATGCACCTTATAAAACCATGCTAATTTGACAAACAAGTTTTGATTGCTGTTTCATTTTTCCTTCATGATAAATCTACAGTTTGTTTTGTCAAAGAAGCTTCAATGCTTTTAATTTACATGACAAATTTAAAGCATTTGGTAATAGGTGTCCATTGGGTGTCACTATTACCTTAGTTAGTCAAGCAAAAGATAAAATAAAAGACAAATGGGTTTGATTTAACCTTGGAAGTTTAATACAGCAATACAAAATAATATATTCAATGTACACTACGTATAGGGAACCAGTTTTCTTGGGAGGTCTCTATCTCTCAAAGCAAAGTTTTAAAGTTTGTTTTTACTTGACGCATCAGCGAGGTCCATGTCAAAATATTACGTAGTTTTTGGTTTCCATGCCTATCCGTGCTGACAGAATCTAAAAAATAAACCCAAGCATTACTCCTTCTTACCCTAAACTTGTTCTGACACCAATGTGGTACGGAATATTATTATTGGAAGAGTATTAATATCAATAAATAAAGGCTGCTACTTAAAGAGTTAATTATGCTAAAAGTAAAAAATTATATTACAGGAAAGAGGATTATAACAGACCTTTAGTTCACTGGTACAGTCCAGGCCTTGATAGGGCAGGGCAACAAAAGGGGAGTCAACACTGGTACACCTTTAAAACTCAAAAGCTTGCACGAATTTAATTGAAGCTTGACAGATCCTAAAATTGGCAAGCTAGATAAATAATGCAGTCACACCAAGATGCAGAGAAAGCTGCAAAGGGCTAAAACATGAGTAATCATTGCCATTCTTAAAGGCCTCAGCAGGGGATTGGAAAACCTAAAAAGGGACTTTTGCTCCAGTGTTCAACTTTTAAAATCTCTGTCCACAACAGTAAAGTAGAGGCGATATGAGATTGCACAGTGATGTAAGAAAAGAGGTGCTCAGTAGGCATGGAAAAGGGACTAAAACTAACCCGACGATTTGCTTTCAATATAGCAGAGACCCTAGGAAAACTGAGAGAAAACACAGAGTATTTAATAGAATAGTTAATGTTTATTATTTAAACCAAAATGCTATGAGGTCACTGTTTCTAAAAAAAGTTGATGTTAGATATGAGGAAGCAGTGTTTAATTCCTCAATACAACTAGAAAAGAGAGAAAATTGGATTTGTGCCAGCTGTCGCCCTATATAGCATTGTTTCAGTGCTGCTTAGTCATTTGAGATGTTTGCACTGCAGAGAGGCACATATCAAAAGTAAGAAGTGTTTTGCTATCAAATTAAATACTGTCTGGAGCAGAGGGAATATAAACTGTTTATAGAAAGGTTATATTTGATCAATTGACTGGGTTTTGGATCAATATCATTGGTATATCACAAACTACTTTTTTCCTTAGCAAGCTTGACTTTCAACTTTTGAAGAATGGCAGGCAAAATCCTTTTGCCTGTACTGCTTCTGTTGTTTATAAGTAAGTAACCACCCACGTTAACTTTAAATTATTTAATATAATAATATATAATATATAACAATATATATTTAATATTTACTTATATATTATATATTTGAATTACTATTATTATTATTAGTAGTATAAGTCTTAGACATGTCTTTATTTACATACTTCTTTTTTCCATCAAAATGATCAATTTTAATTATACACCAATTACATGTTATTTGCATGTACGATTAAAAATATTTGTTTTAAAGAAAAAAAATGTTGCTATGACCTTCAAGTGTATATTTAATTATGTAATTTTTTTTGTAGATGGAGTTAAAACTCAAACCACAAGTAAGTTTAAATTTGAGTTCTACAGTATCTGTCTGTCTGTTTTTTTTTATTCACAATTTTTAATAACCAATAAGTGTACGTACTTACTTTGAAAGATTTGCTACTAAGACCTTCCAAAGAAAGTAGTACATTAAATATTGCTACAGAATTGGAACAAAGCAAACATTGACATGTTTTATTTGATGTTATCTGTAAAAAGCTATAGGTGGGATGACCACTCAGAGTCCAGGTAAGCAGAAACATTAGATTTGTCTTTTTTGATATTACTGTCATATAAATTCTTAAAAATCTATAAGAAACACTTTCAAATTATATTAGGAAAATGTTACCAAGGTTTTTAAAATAATTTAATTTAGTCTATTAACCTTGCCATAAAAATTAAAAAGTATCTAATGCAGGGGTGTCAAACGTAAGGCCCTCTGAACATTTATTCCGGCCCGGTGGCTGAATGCATTATTGTTATTCAACAACGATTGTTGAAAAAAAACATGTACAGTACTTTATTCAATTGAAAATTTGCAGTTGCTATAATGTCCATGAGGGGAGCTGTGTTTTATTCACTGCAGACAACACTATGCAACACTGCATAAGGTCTAACAGCAGATGGTAGCACTGAACTTCAGGTTCTGTAAATGGCTTTGATTCTGTTGCTTTACCAGCTTTTCATTTTGGCCCTGACAAGCTCATCAACATAATGTCTTGGTCAAAAAAAAAAAAAAAGAGAGAGAAAGGTAGCCACAGAGTGTCAGATTTTTCAAGAAAAATAACTATTTTGTTCAAGGAGGTGAATAGTAAACCTATGTGCCTTGAGTCCCTGCAGCAGGTTTCGATGCTTAAGGAAAACAATACTCGGCACCACAACAACCTCAGCATGGTGAAAAAATACAACCACTTGGACAGAGAACTGAGAAAACAGAAGATAAAGGAAATGTTGATTAGTCTGAAGAAATAGCAATCTGTTTTCACCTGGGGTAGAGATGTTGGTGATGCTGTGGTGAAAGCCACCTACCTAATTGCTAACCAAATAGTGTTAGCAACAAAGCCTTACTGTGAGGGACAGTTCGTAAAGAACTGCATGCTGAAGGCTGCCGAAATTGTGTGTTGCAGATTTCGACAACCAACTCCAAAGCAAAATGGAGTAATTTCTTGCATTTTATGTAGCAATTGGTGAGAGTACTGATAATGCGGGTGTCTCTCAACTCGCCATATGCATTCATGGAGTTGACGAGACGTTGACTGTCACAGAGGACACCACGACAGCTGAAGACATTTTCGGCTCCATTGTTAAGACAGCATTAATAATATAAGCGTTCTGATGGCACTTTAGCGAAAGGATGTTTTGCCAAAAATGTAATTAATGGGCACAATTAAGGAATAGTTGTATTACGAAACGATTTCAGGTATTTATCAAACTCGAAACAGAATTCTCAGTTTTTCGCTCACCATTCACAATCAGAGCTTTTTTGATATGCAACCTGAAAGGATTGATTCGCAAAGTGATTAGGAATTGGTGGACAAATTTCCATCAGTTGGCTTGGACACCTTTTTTTTTTAAATGTCTGCTACCAGGATATCCAAGATTGACAGCACTGGCTGCAAAAATGTTGCCCATGTTTGGGACAACCTACCTTTGTGAACAAATTTTATAACTGATGAATAAAAAAAAACACAAAGCTCCACTCAAATCTCACACATAAGCACTTAATGAGACATAATGCCTGATATTGGTGTACCTGTCCAAGTTAAAATATGCTAAGTTTCAGGGGAAATAATGAGTTAAACTACAGTTTTGAATATTTGCTGAATTAATTCAATTCAAATTAGTGCTAGTCAGTAACAGATTTACAGTGTTGAGTACAATTTTTCTCATGCATGAAATACATGTTACGTGTGTAAGTTTTTCTATGTGTATACTGTACATTTTATGCATCAACAAGAAAGGTGACAATTGTACTTAAACAAATGTCTGTTTAAAACAGCTGGCAATTAAGATTATCAGCTGTTTTAAACAGATAATTTGTTCAAATTGCTTCCCAGATGTGGAGAATTTATTTTAAAAAATTTCTTAAGTTTTATCTGCTTGATGTATTTTGTGGTGCAGCACAGTGTTTTTAAGCTCTAAAAACTGTGAATAAATGTTTTGCAATATTGTAAAACCACTTAAAGCTACAGTGTGTAATAATTACAGGGATATACAGTCAGAAATGTAATATATTATACATAACTATGTTATTTATCATCATCTACGAGCTCAGCCTCTTAACCTTAATATTTGCGTTGCCCTAGAATTCGTTATTTATAATTACATAGGAGCGGGTCTCGCAGCCATGGAGGCAGACATCTTTGCGCTACGGCAGCGCAGAGCCAACAAACTAGCGATTGCGAGATCGCCAAAACGTCACAACGATGTAGAAAAAATAACAGGTATATTTATTATATTAAGTCTACATGAAATATATACCCTACACAGACTAATGAAATACTATCTGTAAAATTATCTATGTAAACAAACCTCATCACTTGAGAAGGTAGGTGATGCGGACATCGTAGAAGACATTTTGTCCCGTAACGCTCACCGTACTGTTGGGGGGAGAAGCGGTGGGGGGGAGATGTTCATGTTGCTGCAGTCTGACCGCTAGATGTCGCTAAAAGTTACACACTGTAGCTTTAAATAAATGTTTAAAAGTATAGTTGAATTTGCACATACTTTTCATAATGTATTTTCTAAAAGTGAAATTCATTCAACATAAAAATCAACAAGTCCACTTTTATCAGTTCTACTTGATCTTGCAATGAGTTTACTTGTGCAGCCCCCTTGAGAACAGATTAAGCTGTACACGGCCCCTAAACCAAAATGAGTTTGACACCCCTGATCTAATGTATTAGCATTCATACTGAATAACATGTTCAATGACATTTATGTAATTTTACATTTGGAATGACAACTCAGATTTCAAGTATTATTAAATTAAAAATCTGTCTGTCTGTGTCAGTCTGTATGTCTGTCAACACTGCACATGATCCTCTAAAAGAAGGGGAAAATAGTTTTCTCAATATGAGTTTATCCAACTGTTTTAATTTCAAACAAATTTTTTTTTTAAATATAATCATTGACTTAAGTTCTACACATAGCTTTTAACATTTCTTTGATCAAAACACACATTTTTTAAGCTTTTTTCTGTTCTCCAGGCAAAGAGTCAACTGTTTAATTCGTTAATGTGTGCTACGTCTTTTTAGGACCCCTCTACCCAATTGGTGGAACGACAAGCTCTCGATCCGATGATGGAAGCTCCCCACAAATTCCGCTGCTTCAAAACTTTAACTATTTTGGCCAGTCTTACTCTCAGATTTATGTATGTTCACCTCATTTCCTATACAATAATTAACTTTTGTTTTTAACTGTAAAAAAATTATTTCTAACATTTCCCACAATAAGTAAACATATCTTTTTTAATTCTGCATTTTTACATTTTTAGGTGAACCACAATGGACATCTGACCTTTGATGCCCCGTGGTCAAGCTATTCTCCTCAACAATTTCCACTATATGAAAACAGAGACATCATTGCTCCATTCTGGACCGATTTAGACAACAGAGGAAATGGAAACATCTACTATGTTCAGTATACCAGTGGCTCTATTCTCCAGCAGGTTACACAGGACATAAATACATACTTCCCAGCACTAAACTTTCAGGCCAGCTGGATCCTTATTGCAACATGGCATGAGGTTGCCTATTATCCAATGACTGGAACAGTAAGTGGTTATCTTTTGAAAGGGTATATGTTTTTTTATAGCTGCAACTTATTTTATGTGTGATGTAAAATGAAACTAAATAACCTATGTTTAATCAGCAAGACCTTTTTTTTTCACAGCAAACAACCATTCAGGCGGTCTTGGCTTCCAATTGGCAGTACTCGTTTGTCCTGATGAATTATGGGTCCATAGCAGAGACAAACAGATTAATAGAGGTGAGAGGCATTCCAGTTAATACACACAACAGCAGGTTTGTTTGTTTTTTGATCTCAGCCAGTGTATATTTTCGAAAATGTCACATAAATATATTTATTCATAAATATATAATTTCCAGGCTGGATACGATACTGTCAGTTCCTCTCACCACTTTACCATCCCAGGATCATTCTCTGCAAACGCAACCGGTCCCAACTCTGTTTTAAGTCTTAATAGCAACGTCAATGTACCTGGACGCTGGGCTTTCCGTGTAGATCATGGTTTAACGGGCTGCACTTTCAATGGTAAGAACAAATGGTATTTTAATGTACCTCTTTATAAAGATAAGTACATATATCGGGGGGATAACTCTAGGCTAGGTTCTCATGGTGGAACGGAAGGACCATTATAAATATCAGCACTGAATACTGAACAGTTCTATAATTATATCCTTTGTTTTTAACTCTTATTTGACACCAGTCCAAAATACTGCATATTTGCACCATATATATTAATGGTCTGAACTTCCATAGCAATACATTATTTTGTAGCATGTTTTTTTTTTCTCGCGCACTGTTAACACTTTATCAATGCTGCAATTTAAGGAATTGAAATGTTATGAAAGCTGTACAAAATGAATAACAATGATTAAGTTATTTCTTAAGATCATTCCGTGATTTCAGATTCACCTCAAACTAAACAAAAACAGAAACTGACTTAACATTAATGCAATATGTAGGATAGAACCAAAGCCTTTAATGTCTCTTGTACTTTTTTTGCTTAAAGGTCAACCTGTACAAATTGGTGACTCTTTCTGGAGTGACAGCACTTGTGCACAGAGGTGCACCTGCACCAGAGCAGGGCTGCAGTGCTCCAGTGACCCCTGCTCCTTTTCCCAAATTTGTCGGCCAGCTTCCTTTCAATACTCTTGCCAGACAGTGCAAAGACGTACCTGCACCATCAGCGGGGATCCACATTACTACACCTTTGACAACGCGGTGTTTCACTTTCAGGGAACATGTACTTATGTTTTGTCAGAACAGTGTCAGAATGAGTTGCCTTACTATAGAGTTGAGGGGAAGAACGAGCATCGTGGCAGCACTCATGTTTCATGGACACGATTGGTCAAAGTCTTTGTCTATAATGAAACTATTGAACTTGTTAAAGGTCATCATGGTGTGGCTAAGGTAAAAACTATTTTATTTACAGCACTAGTTAATAAGCTTTTCATGTGTTGTTTATATTTATAACATTTTTTTTACTGCTTTCAGGTTAATGGAAACTTTGCCACAGCTCCCTTTTCCCTCAGAAATGGCACTATCCAGGTTTATCAATCAGGTTTTTCTCTGATCGTCAGCACTGACTTTGGTGTGATGGTGTCTTATGACATGAATAGCTATGTCCGGATCAGTGTGCCCTACACGTACCAGAATAACACCTGTGGGCTATGTGGAAACTTCAACAATCACCCTGAAGATGACTTTCAAACCCGTGAAGGTGAAGTAGTGAGCTCTGATGTGGTTTTTGCAAACAGCTGGAAGGCACCAGGGGATGATGAGCCCGGCTGTGAGGCTCAGTGTGGAGGATTGGCCTGTGCCGCCTGCTCAGCAGATCAGTCAGCATTGTACAGAAGTTCTGCTCACTGTGGTATTCTTGAGGACAGTTCAGGGCCGTTTGCTCCCTGCCATCAGCAACTCCCTCCAGGATCCTTTGTGGACAGCTGTGTGTATGATCTGTGTGTCGGCGGAGGGTATCAACCCATTCTGTGCCAAGCGCTTAATGTCTACTCAAGTCAGTGTCAACAAAATGGTATCCAGCCACAAACCTGGCGGAGTTCTAACTTCTGTGGTATGTCTGTCATTCAACTTAAATTATTTTAAATATTTCTTGTGAAATGTCCAGTGACTGAGATTAAATGTCTGTTTCATTTAGAAATCCCTTGCCCAGCAAATAGCCACTTTGAGCCCCAAGGTACAGGATGTCCAGCCACATGCGTCAACCCTAATTCCACCCACAACTGCCCCCTCCCAAATCAGGAGAGCTGTGTCTGTGATTCAGGCTACGTCCTGAGTGGTGGTGTCTGTGTCCCTCATGCTGAGTGTGGCTGCAGCTTTGAGGGTCAGTACTACCGCTCAGGAGAAACTGTCATATTGGATGCAGACTGTGGGAGGCGCTGCAGTTGTAGCTATGGCTCCATGAGCTGCAGCCCTCACAGCTGTGGTCAACATGAGTCCTGTAGAGTGGAGGATGGAGAAAGAGGTTGCAAACCAAACAGCTTCTCAACATGTTGGATAAGAGGCCCAGGATCATATCAAACATTTGATGGGCTGATGTACCAGTACCCTGGAGCATGTCGCTTGACACTTGCTAATGTCATTGGATCTTCTAATCACTCCCACTTCATGGTAACCATGGAAAAAGTTCCGACGGGTGTGCAAAGTTTTTCCAGGGCTCTAAAATTTGAGGCAGAGGGAACACACATTTCTATTGAACTGTCAAGTAGTGGCCATGTTCAGGTAAGTTACTTAAATAATTTTCTACTGATAAATTAAGTAAAAAAAAAAATCTAAATGTAATATCAGATTTCTTTTTATTCCAATATGTTCAATTTCGTCCTTACTTAACAGAAATGTGTGGCACCTATTTTTGGCAGCCTTGCTTCTGGCAGTGAGCTTGAGGGCTAAAATATGTGTTTTGTGCCAACGACCTGACTGCATAGTTACCTGTCTGAGCATTAAGTAAAACTTATGTGCAGACTTTAAACTCATACTGTATCACTCAAAATCTGTCTGGCCTGTGCTCAATTCTGATAAACTCTGCTCTGCCACCTGTGCTCTTTTTTCGCTCCTTTTCTTTGTGCACTCCTCTACCTCTCTGTGTGCACTTGACTTTGTCTTTTACTTGCTTGACTCCATCTCTGCATGAGTTTGACCTGACCTCTGCTCGTTCAGCTCCATCTGCGCACTCCCACCTTGATTAGGTCTGTGTAAAAGAACCACTGGCCTGTATTTGTCCAATCAAAGAAATCTTGCAGTGTGCACAGAAACGTTATTGATCATGCAATAGAAAGGAGTGAAGCAGAGGATAGGTGGCAGAGCAGAGTTTGTCAAGGTTCAGCGCATGGAAGGCAGGTTCTGTGTGATGGGGTGTGAGTTTAAATACTGCACATCAATCTCACTGCTTGGTCAGATTGGCCAATGCACGCTCAGGTTTTGGCACAAGAATTACACTATAGAGGGCAGCTGTGGCTACAATGTACCTTACATCCATCAGTGTTTGTTTGTGTGACTAACTAAATGTAGTGTATAGCAAGTTGGGGTCCTTAGACTTGATTGAATTTTGTACAAGTATAGGTAATTTACAGTTTTACCATTCTTATTATTGTTATTATTTCTAATACACAGTATAATTATATTATTGATATTAATTCCACTTTCTAGTACATGAATTAGTTTTTTGTATTATAATAGAAGCATAAAAAATATTTGGCCAAAAGCATTTGATTTAGATTTAGCTACCAAAGAAGGTATTATAATTTTTTATATTAACAGTTATGGTGGTGCTGACATATTAACCTGTGCAAAAACACTTTTAAATAATGCTAAAGAAGCTGGGTAGTCGAAGCTGGGTAGTCCGTACAGTACCTATGTTAGCAAAAGCTATAGCAAAAAAAAAAAAAAAAAAGCTTTTGTGTGATTTATATAACATATTGCTTTGGAAAAGTCTATTCATGATTGTGCGCTGACAGTTTGCGGGGTTGCCCTGGTAGAACTAATCTCAAACCACAGTTTAATTGATGTGTTAAAGAATAAGGGAAAATCTAAAATATTTTATCAAGACTACTGAATTCATATGTTTCACGATTCTATTATTTACATTTTGGTTTATCCTGTCAATTTCAAAAGTTTTGCTAATTCACTCACGTTTTCTTTACCCAAAATATTTTAAGCTCTTAAAATATCACAAAAATTAAGAGAACACAATAAAATATACCCAATTTCAACTAGATGCTGTTCTTGAAATTTTGGAGTATTTTAGGTTTAACTATGTCTCTCAGAGGTTGAAAATAAGTCTTGTGACAGTTGAGGGGTTAAGGTACTGTATTTTTTTTTATGTTTTAAAGGTTGATGGTCAGCTGACCAGACTGCCCTTCAGCTCTGGGTCCAACAGAATCCGCATCTTCCAAAGCAGCACACAGAGCATCATCCTTCGTACAGCCTTTGGTGTAACTGTGCAAACCGCCTGGCCTCATTTTGTGGGTATCACTGCACCAAGTGTCTACAGTGGGTTATTAGGTGGACTTTGTGGGAATTACAACGATGACCAGCATGATGATTTCCGTACACCCAATGGCACTCTGGTCAGTGATTCTCAGGTGTTTGGGAACAGTTGGCGGAGTGGATCCCTGGCAGATCATTGTGTGGAAAGCAGATATCATAACTCTGCAGCCAATTTCAGTTCCAGTGAGTACTGTGGAGTTATTAGCTCCAACACTGGGCCATTTACATCATGTTGGGGTGCAGTGGACCCAGGGCTGCAGGTAGATGCATGTGTAGAGATCCTACAGGGCTCCAGAGATCCAGCGTCAAAACTCTGCGAGGTCCTACAAGATTATGCACTGATGTGTCAACACAACGGCATTTCCCTCGGACAATGGAGGAATGCAACTGGCTGTGGTATGTTTTTGTGCAACATATGATAGAGATGCCTTTTAGATGAATACATTCACCCTTAATTATTCCTTTTAACAATTTTTTTCCTCTCCAGAACTTTCCTGTCCTCCAAACAGCCACTATGAACTCTGTGGAAGTTCATGTCCATCGTCCTGTCCCAGCCTCTCTTTCCCCTTCACCTGTGACACTCAGTGCCAGGATGGGTGTCAGTGTGATGATGGGTTTGTTCTGAATGGTAACCAGTGTGTCCAACCAACATCATGTGGATGTTATCATGAAGGGCGCTATCGGCAGGCTGGTGAACAGTTCTGGGAGGGTGAAGAATGTCAGAATTTTTGCACCTGTAATGGTGTTACTGGTGTAGTCCAGTGTTCCCCAAACACATGTGGACCTCAGAAGTCCTGCCGTGTTGTTGAGGGTGAATTTGGCTGCCATCCCAACCCTCATGGCATCTGCTCTGCCTCTGGAGACCCTCACTACCTCACCTTTGATGGCAAGGCCTATGACTTCCAGGGAACCTGCCGCTATGTTCTGGCAACAGTTTGCAATGAAACTGAAGGTGTTAAACACTTTTCTGTGCAAGCAAAGAATGAACCATGGTTTGGGTCGCCAGTTTCTATCACGGCTGAAGTTTTTGTTGATCTATTGGGCTATCAAGTGCGCATGTCAAGAAACAACAGGGGAACAGTGGAGGTAAGTCAAGCTGTTCCTAACAGAAGATTGCTGAATATGTCTAAAACTATCTGTTCAAATTGGATTGCAACGGTTTAGTTCTACAAAATTTGCACCAGTATATGTCCATAAATTCAGTTTTATATCCTTGAAACAACTGTCCACTTCACAGGTAAATGGAATCACCAGAAACCTGCCCATTGTCTTCAATGGAAGCCTTTCTATTTTTGGAAGTGGATCCCAAACATTTGTCAATGCAGACTTTGGACTGAGCGTCATGTATGATGGAAGTAGCACAGTGTCCATTAATGTGCCCCCAATCTACAGGTAGCCTTCTGTTATTCTATTTGAAGGCTTTTAATGGCAGGTCGTTTGCATATTGTTGTATTTGAAAACCATGTTATTAGTTATTTTTAGTTCATAGGCTAATGGCTTTTCTGACAAGACATGATTTTCCATGTAGTCACTGTTTGGTTTAGTATTTTTGCACTGTGCTGCACTTGCTGGTCAGCAATGTTTTTGTTGTCAGCAAAATTCTAGCACTAGCCCTCTGCTAGTTAGAAAAAAGAGCTGCGAAAAGGCTGTGAACGCATGATTTCCCGCGTCAAGAAAGAAGATTGTAGAGTCACAGTTTGTGAAAGCTCTATTTTTGCAGTGGCTGGAATAGCAAACATGGATAATAAAGTTTGGGTAATTCGGGCACACAGAGAATTACATTTTTTGCTTCCTTGTCTGTCTGGCTAATAGCTCTATACCCCATAACCAATGTGCCAGATGTGTAGTCTTCGTTGTGCACCATAGTAGAATATCAACATGGCTGAACTCTAACTACAGAGTGCACTCCAGCTCTCTAATGACTCCAGCCATTGAGCATGCCCATCCTGTCTAAGTTTGCTAATGCACTAGTTATTTTTTATACTTATAACTATAAGAGGAAAGCTAAATTGATAGCTAATAATATACCAATATACACATAATTTATTGTTGCTGAAGTTATTTATAAATGTTTTGTATTAAATCTTGTCTGCATTTCCTAGCTACTTGTGAAAGTTTTATTATTTTATGTTATGTATTTCAAACAAAATGTATACACACAGATGATTCTATACAAACTTTATGCAGTCTATCTTATTTCCATCAGAGGAAATACATGCGGTCTTTGTGGAAACTTCAATGGAGATCGAAATGATGACTTCCACTCCCCAAGTGGAGAAGTGGTCAACACTCCAGATGCTTTTGGGGCAGCCTGGAAGGTTCCTGGGAACTACACCTGCAGTGATGGCTGTGGCTCCTCATGCCCTCAATGCAATGATGACCAATCTGCCAGGTCCCAATGTGAGGTGATTCAGGCAGCTGACGGCCCCTTCAGCTTCTGCCACGAGGTGGTGGATCCATCGCCATATTTCAGTGACTGTGTCTTTGATGTCTGCGTGTCTGGAAATCGAGGCAGTGATCTTCTGTGTAGGGCTCTTGAAACATATGTCAGTGCCTGTCAGTCTGCTAATGTCCATGTCTATCCTTGGAGACAAAACACCACCTGCAGTAAGTATAGAAGGCTCTTTGATATTAGGGTAATCAATTGAACAAGTGTTTTATTTAACAGTCTCTTGAACCATTGCATCTTCTCTGTTTAAACTTGTTTTATCCAGCTTACCATATTTTTTTTCCTACCATATAAAGGAATTGAGTGCCCAGCCAACAGTCATTATGAGCTGTGCGGAACAGATTGTGGCCACACCTGTGCCAGCAGCATTGATGCCCTCTGCGACCATGTTTGCTCTGAGGGATGTTTCTGTGATGATGGTTTTTCCAGGAGTGGAAGCAGCTGTGTCCCTGTGGAAAGCTGTGGCTGCCAGTATGAAGGCCTGTACTTCAATGTAGGCCATTTAAGTCCCTTGATTTTAGAGTTGGCTCCGAAATGTGGAAAATAAGGGCCCAATGAGAACATTTAAAGTTGCTTAAAAAAAAAAAAACTCATTACACTATAAACTAAGAGATATAATTTGTGCATGCATCTTACATGAAAATATTTATCATGTTACGGTAGCATCTTTTCCGGTTTTCTGTCTTTTAGTCTTTCCAAAAATACTTGCCAACATGGACTGAAAGACCACTCAGAGAGGAAGCAGAAATGCATAAAAAGATTACAAAAACACAGATTATAGTTTCCAAAAGTAATCCATAAGAAAAAAATATATATACTATTCTTGCACTTAGGTAAAATAAATGTTTAAGGAACTTTTCTCTGCAATTAAATCAGACTTGAGGTTTGTCTGATTTATAGTGAGAGAGTAGCAAAAGCTTTGTCAATTTCAAAGTATGCAAATACAAATTAGTACATTTATTTAAGCTGTCCACTAGCTATTTGGGGAATGCATGTTTGAAGACACAAGTTAAGTGTGACAATTTGTTAAAGAAAACATGTCACACAAGTTTGTTTTAGGCACACAATTTACTTGTTTATGAAAGGCTAAACTGAAAGGAGTGTAAAACTTGACAAACCTGAATCATCAAACTTGTTCCACATGATGCAGTTTTGAAGCTATGATTTAAACCTGAGAAGTAACATTATTTATGTATACTTTCACACCAATGAATACTTTAACTTTTATGTCACCTTGAAGGCTGGTGAGTCCTTCTGGACAGATGGATGCTCCCAGAGATGTGAATGTGAAGCACCCAATGTCCTCAACTGCTATCCTTCATCATGCACTCCTGCACAAGAATGCTCTATCAGAGATGGTCAGCTGGGCTGTCATGATGCAATGTCTACCTGTACTGCATGGGGTGACCCACATTACATCACCTTCGATGGAGCCCTGGCTCATTTTCAGGGAACATGCTCTTACATCATTACTGAGAGCTTGAGCCAAAGTAACAATGAAACTCACTATAAAGTAGTGGCCACCAACAACCACAGAGGGAACAACCGTGTGTCATTTGTGTCATCGGTTGATGTATACCTCTCAAGTCCTCAAGAGAATGTTCATGTCATTCTTGGACCTAACAAGAGAGTGAAGGTAAACTTTATTTTAAATTTATAATAAATAACAGTTTTTCAGGGGTTCAAACTTTATTTCTTATTCCCTGAACTCTCATCATAACAGGTGAATGGAGCTGAGGTCTCTCTTCCCACCACTGCAGGAACCTTTGGTCAGCTGATGAGGCAGGGAAGGTTCCTAGTGTTTGATGCTGGTGATGTCATAGTCCAGTTTGATGGCCGCAGTACCTTACATGTAAGAATGAGCCGCCACTATCAAAACAGAGTCACTGGAATGTGTGGGAACTTCAACAGTGATCCTACTGATGACAAAGTTTTTCCCAACGGTACATTGGCCCAAAACGACAATCATTTTGCCCACAGCTGGAAATCAGAGACAAGCCAAGCAGGGTGAGCTCAGGTTTAATTTTTCTGTCTTTATCCCAAGTTCTTTGATTATTTAAAATATCTATTTTTACAAGAATTTGCTGCCTTTACAATCTTTGAAATGTTTTACAACTTTTCTAGATGTGGAGCCACAGATGACAGAAGTGGTGGCGGATTGGATGACTGCCGCTTTATAGAGGAATACACGGAACTCTGCCGAGTCATCACCAACACCAGTGGCCCATTCAGTTCCTGTCATCTCCACTCTGACCCACAGCCATTTTTCACATCATGTGTTTATGATCTCTGCCTCTACACACCAGCTAATGGAATGCTTTGCTCAGCGGTCTCTGCTTATGAGGAAACCTGCAACATTTTGGGTTTAAATATTCCTGATTGGCGTTCTCCTTTGAACTGTGGTATGTTTGCCTGGTTCAATGGATTCCCAACCCCAGACTCTTTGACTGGCCACATGCTTATGTTTTCTTAATGTCTCTGCAATTTCTTATTTAATTCAGCTGAGACAGACCCTTGTGAACAGCTGGACTGCGCAGATTATGAGTGGTGTGGAAAGAAAGATGGGGTATACGGCTGCTTCTGTGATGAGCACCATCATAGACCCAACAATGAGAGCTATGGTAATAAAACATTTAAAACCTTTTTGTATTCATATGAAAAGTTTCAGTAATATTCAAATCATTTAAGCAAAATCAAATCTGAAACATTTTTACACTGGTATTTAACTGCTGTTACTCCCTTAGTGCAAAGGTCCGGTCAGCAAGGAACAATCAATGGATCATTATCTATATCTAAAACTAATACGTTTGCGGTAATGTAATAAATTTGGCATTAATCAATAAAAAAATATATATATAAAAAATTTTTTCATCACGATCAATGAGTCTGGGAGTGGCCATTTATGCCCAAATATAGTAATACTCACTCCTGACATCTTCCGGCACTGATGTCACGGTGTGGCAAGCCTAGGGCCATTCTTCCCGCTTTACAAACAAAATCAATAGGAACTATTTTACCTGCAATCAACAATTATTTTAGGTTTCGAGAGGATTCACCATTGACATTCATGAGAGCTATTTGTCATGATGCTTTTAAGGGATCTGACCCACATGCAGAAAACCACTCAGAGGACCAAGGGAAAGTTTAACAGGTTTATTGATGAGGACAGCAGGAGGTGGAATCTTGAACTCAGAGAGAGCTGTTTAACCGGAACTAGAAGTGGAAGGGAAGTTCACAGCGGTTAGTTCAATGGCCGTAGGAAACTGAATAGAGTTTTAGAGCATGGAGGAAAAAGGGACTCACGTAGGAGGGGATCTAAGTCAAAGCCTTGAATCCAGAATGTGTGAGCTTTCCAGAGAGAGAGTAACTCGTTGGAGGGTGGACAGTTTGGTGGAGTTGGACCCTGAGGAGTATGAGAGCGGACTGCCACTTAGATTTCTGATGGTACTTCAATGGATTGTGTGGAACTTTTCCCTAGCTCAGTGTGAACAAAAAAATATCCTTCCCGGGGGAGAAGGCCAAACCTTCCAGTCAGCGGGAAGACTACCTGCCAAAAGGCAAAACAAAAAACACAGTCAGTCTCAGAGAAATGAAGCACAGGTTAGACTCAGCTAATCACGGCTTGGCTAGAGTACCCAAAACTGGCAAACACTCTGGCGTCGAGGTAGTGGCAGTCAACGGCTCAAATACTCCCCTTTGATGAACCAATGAGCCGCAGCTGTGCAGGAGGACCAACGAGGACAGGGCGCCACCTGGTGGTGGAGGGAGAGACAAACACAAAACAACCCACACATACTGGATTCCTAACACTATCAGCAATCCAATGCCCACATGCATGGCAGTTGGATGTTGCGATACATCGGGTAAAAGTGAAAAAAAAATTGGTTATTTCACCTTTCTGATTCATTATCCACGAGTCCGTCAATGGATTGCCAACTTGAAGAGGGAGGATTTGCAATCGAACTTCTGGCCAGAGAAAAAACATGTTATATGTAGCCAACAGTTCGAAGAAGAATGTTTTCAGGATGACTTTGATAATACAGCATTGAGACTTGAACAACAGCCGATATTACACCTTGACGTCACAAACCGGTAGGTGGCAGTAGTGTTCATTGAAGAACATGAATGCCTCCAAAAAAGCATATTCAAATGAAAATTACTCTCAATTAAAAACACTTATCATTTATTGAACAGTACAAAATAATTTTATATTTAAAGTAGTTTCTGAAGTTTGAATTCTAAATATGAACAGACTTTTTACAACTAACCTGTTGTCTTTCTGGTAAGCAGACTCGAGCATCCAATGTGCCAGCAGTTCAGGCACCATGTCAATATCTCGCTGTCAACTGTTTGAAGCTGGCTTCCATCCAACTGCTCTCCACCTACGAGATTCCTCCTGCAATGGGACTCTGCAGGACGGACGACTGATCTTCCACTTTGACAATGACAACCATTTGTGTGGGACAGCTCTGAGGGTGCAGTTCAAAAATGAGAATATCATCTATAAGAGCCAAAAAATCTTGTTAACATCGATTGACATGAGTTTGTTTTACTTTTTAGAGCAATGGAACTCACTTCATGTACGAGAACACCATTCAGGGGAACGTGGATCCTCATGAAGGTCTAATCAGTCGTCAGAGGAACCTTCATCTGCAGTTCTGCTGTATTTACCCTCTGGCTCAGGCACTGTCAATGTCTGTAGGCATCAACCCTCTAGAAAGGTGATGATTGTGTTTGCAGTGTCATTATGAGTATCAAAAGAATAAAACTGGATGCTCACAAACAATGTTTATTTTGTAGCATTTTGAGGAAGAAGCTTCCTATTGGCATCGGATCTTATCGTATGAGAATGATCCCCTACGAGGATGAAGACTTCCGCTATCCCCTTAGTACTAACAGAAACATAGAAATGGAAGTTGATGAAATGTTTTATGTGGAAGTGAGAACAGAAGGAGTGGATCAGCGCCAGTTTGCCACCGTTCTTGACTCTTGCTGGGGCACGCCAGTCAATCAGGCCAACTACCCTGTTCGCTGGAATCTCATTGTTTCACAGTAATAGAGAAAATCTTGTTGACTTTTATAACTCTAAATGGTTAATTTTCTCCCAGCTGGCTGAAATTCTTACTCCTGCATCTGTTTTGTCACTCAGGTGTCCTAATCCAGAAGATGGAACAGTAGAGGCGATTCAAAATGGTGTCTCCACTGTGGCACGTTTCTCCTTCAGGATGTTCACCTTTACCAACCACACAGAGATGTTCTTGCATTGTAGTGTCCACTTGTGTCTTCTGAGAAACAACAACTGTGCACCTGTAAGTACAATTGTGTGCTTAGTGTGGCTCTTTAACTGTATGTATATAACCTCCTCTTGCATATATCCTACCAGCTTCAGAACCTCTTTTATTTTACTTTTTTTCCAGCACTGCTATCCAGGACACCACACCCGATTCCGAAGGGACATATCTTACCATGACTCAGGAGCTCTATCCCTTGGGCCACTAGTCCTTAAGGCACAACAGAAGACTGGTAAAATTCTCTCAAACTTTCTTTGCTTTGTTAAGAAAAGATTATACTTTAACTGATGGCCAATTTCTTTACAGGTGTTTCTTCGATAGGATCAAAAATCCAAAGAAATGGGGCTTCAGTCTGTCTGACATCAATTGTTACACTGATTTTTAGTTTAATAATGGCAAGAATCTTGGTGAATTGAGATCAAAAGAGAATCGTACTTTCAAATCTGGTAGAATATTGTTACTTATGGTTGATGTTGGTCTACGGTGTTTTGGGTTTCTTGTTTGTACTCATAATTAAATTAAAATAGAGGAACTTTTATAGGTAGAAATTCAGTTTATTTGCTTTGCATCTTTAATAATTTTGTCAAATCAATATTACACAAAGACATGCACAAAAATTAAATACTCAGACATGCTGGTGTACATGAGGTAAAATGCATTTATAAATTCTAGGTACCTAAAGCACAAAAAATGTATGGTTGGAATGGGTGGTGTAAACCACTGGAGGTATTAATATAATTTTAAGTGTGGTCTTGTTTATAGCATTACTTATTGGTATCAGAGAATCAAAACTATTACTTTGTTGTGTATTTTATGTATACATGTACAACTATCTACGGAAAATATCTAAAAATGTCAAACTTTCATTCAATATCTATATTCTGTTTATGAATTTTTTGGGTGCAGGGAGATATATCTGCTTGATTATTAAATAAATTAATAAAGGTATTTAAATATATTTGATTAACTAGCTTTAATCCTTTTTCTTTTTTATAAAAGCCTAATAAAACTAAAAATGCTTCCTTCGTGGCAACTGGCTTTCAGAAGTACTAAAAATTATGCAAAAACTTCTGCAGTTTAGTTTTAGTTTTAACAAAATCTCTTCTCACATGGTAAGTATTTATATTTGCATATCCTCCACCCATGAATTTGCGTGTTTTGGTCATTTTATATCATTTAATAAGCACATTGATGACGTTACACACAAAAATATTTCCACACGCTGCCTGCTAATGCAAATCACTTTGCACCTATGAAGATCTGCTCTGTGCGCACAAGCACGTTGGCACCTGTTTTATGATATGCAAACCCTTTGAAGATCTCACCCTGTGTGAGGACCTACGTTTCCTTGGCAAGCAATTGTTTGTGGTACGACTGGTGAATCTGATGTTAGATGTCAACATTGAATTTTATAACTGTAGTCACAAATTTATAATTCTACATATTTTTTCAGCCAAAGTAACACTTTTCATTTGGCAATTCCTTAAAGGCAAAAAATGGGCTCCTGTATGTTTATATGCATTAATGAAAACTCTGACATCTAGAAGTAAGTTTAAAAGATTCCATGTAAAAATGTTTGTTCCACCCCATCTGTCCTCTCTTTTCGAAATCTGAACACTTTGGTCTTCAATGGTGTGTACTTTATTCTGGAAGTGCATGTTTACAGCTGAATCGTGTCCACAACTACTGGCTTTCCTATGCTGTGTGCTGTTTGTGTTGTTGTTGTATGTTTTTTTTTTTGTGCCTTTTTTATAGGAGGCTTGGATTTCTTGCTGTACTGGATTGCATTAACAACACAGCTCAGCTTAAGTTTGGGTGTTCCCAACCAGTTTTTGTCTGCATGTGTTGTTGGGTTTAAAATTTGCAGGTATGTTGTGTTTCGAGAAAAATCTTTCTCAGTTTCTTAGAAATTCCTGACACTTGTTTTTCTTCTGACTTTAAAGAACGGTATGTAAACTTTCAAGAATTTCCCAAGTTTACCAGCAGATAGATCCAAGTATACCGTACTAGCAGTTTACTAAAAAATATACTTTCTGAGACTAGTTAGGCCCACATTAAGTGTACTTTGAAGTATATTAAAAGTACCCTTTTAAGTATACTTAATAGTTTTAGGAATACATGAATTTACTTGGAATACATCTCCAAGTCCATTCATTGTTTATAAAAGTATACTTTAAAGTATATTGAAATTAGCCTTTATACTATTGTTATAGTGACAAAATCATGTCCTACTATATAAAAAGGTTTTATATGAGTTTGTTTAAGTCTAACAGCTTATGTGACCTGGAATGTTAATCTGGACGAGACACCAATGTTCTATTAAAGGTATAGTGTAGGATTTTCAGGAATAGCTGACAAGACCTGCCCTCTTCACTTTCAAAACAAAATGCACTTGCAAAACCCCGTACCCGCTCCTGAGAGGTAGCACCTATAAAATGCGTGCAAGAGCATGCACAAGCCCATTTCTCCTCTTTCACACTCTGTTTAAAAGTTGTTGTTTGCATCACTCACACAAGCTTGCTTTTCAAAAGAAGATTTGCAATTTTTCCACTACGTCAGACTCAGGACGGCCTTACATAAACATATCACCAGTATGATTGACAATTAGGAAGACCACTTATTTTGATGATGCATCCAGAAAAAGAACATCCTCTACCATACCTTTAATAAAGCATCCTATTGTTCAATATATTTGAACAAACATCAGTCTTAAATTCTGCAGCACTAAAAAGGTCCAATACATTGTAACAGCAAACCCACTTGTGGGGTTTGTCCACACCAACTGCAAGAAATCAGCCAAAAAGGTCATACTTACTGTATGTACACAAGTCTCCACCACTTTCAGATACTTTAGTTTTGACTCAGTTTAAAAATAATCTGTTCCAATATAAACAATTTAAAGCTCTAAAGATCTATAAGACATGTGATATTTTTAGGTAAGAGAAGGAACAGCAATTCAAGGAGATGAGCTCTGAAGAGATTGCATAGCCAGAATATTTCCTGGAGGTGTTCCCTGCTGACAACAGATCTGAGGAATTCTGTTGAAAATGAAGTAGTTTGGCCTTTTGTTTAAGTAAAGGGCCACATTTTCTGCTGGCAAGAATTCAGGGGATTGCGGTAACCCACTGTACACACAAGTGAGCCTTTTTTAACACCTAAATTGAGAGGATCAAGTATGTGTGGACTCACCTTCTAAATCATTAGTAAAAGTTTTTTTGTAGATTATAGTCAAGATATATCCAGATAATCCATTCTGCAAAATGTTCTTGATCTCACATTCACCTACTTCAGGTCCTTTTTGTTCCAGTCATATTAGGTGTGTAACAAAAAAAGTTATAAATCTGCAGCAGAGGCAGATGCTGTTCATGATGTTCCGAGGATTCATTTACAAGTCCTGTGCATTCAACTCAAAGACTTAAAATAAAACACAACAGGGGACTAAATCCCAGGACAAAAAAACAGTATAAATCTATCCCCTATGAGATCTGCACATGTTGCAATATTTCCTTTCAAAGACTGTTTTCAAATTAATAGGTTTTTATTGAAGAAAATTACAAGTAACTCCCAAAATTATGATTTTTTCATTTAAGACAAGTGGTTAGAAAGCGTATATTAGGATATTTAGGTCTTTACTTGATTCGCTATTGTCTCATATTTTACAGGCAAAACCGAAAGTAAATAGAACAGAGTAGACTACCAAATAAAACAGAAAGCATGTGGTTGTGATAATGATGGTATGATCCAATGTTTTGGATTGTGTGGTAAAAACATATCTTCTTGGATGGGAATGGAAAAACAGCAGGTGACAAGAGAATAATACATGTAGAGGTCAAATAGACAGGCTACACATACAGAGAATCCTTGTCCCAACTCTTAGATTTTCTCCTTTTTATCTGTAAAGATTATGTGCCTTTTTGCTCATTTATATTAGCTGACTTCCATTTTTATAATTTTGGACACACAAACCATTACTATATCCATATCAAACATCTGTATCACAACACTATGATGAACTCTCACAGGAATGTTTATCGATTAAATTCTGAGAACGAAATAACTTTAATTTCCATAACCGAAATTGTAAACTTTTCATTAGCAAACTATGTTTTAGTTGGGAAAATATGCCTTTTTCTATTTAAATTTTGTATAACAGATCTCAGGGATCAACACTAAAGCACTTTTAAAATGACCTGAAGACAAAGGGTTAGGCTTTTCACATCCTGAAGAGATTTTTATTCCCCCTTTTTCCATCTGAAATTCTCCTATTAGATCCAAGAGTTCATACATTTCTGAAAAAAGAACATTATTCTAATCCCTGTTTTTGGATGAATGAAAATTAAACGGAAAATCAATCAAGTTCATACACAGACCTTCTGTTTCACTCTACAACTCTAAATGTAACATGTAGGGAATAATTTGTTTAGCCGCTTAGCATTTTAACTATTTCTCTTTTTTACTCTAAAGAGAAGTAGGCTTATTTAATCAAATGTAACGTTTCTTCTGTTTCTTCCTATAATATGCACTAAGTTTTTTAAATAAACATTCTACATTACCGGTATATTATTTGTACAATATCAAAACTCTAGGCAAAAGTTTAGGGTCTTATAGTTAGCCACCAGATGGCGGTACATCATAGTTGATGTGATGTTAAGGTTTGTGTTAGAAATCTGTCCAGTGATTCCCAAACATTTCAGTCTGTGACTCTAGAATAGCAAGACTAATGATCAGTAAAGTGTCCCTTCAGGTGACGAGCTATAAAACACATTTTTTTTTTTTTATTAATGCCAAAAGTTACAATCTAAGAGATTTTCTTTTGTTTCATATCAATTTATATCAACTGATCACCTAATTCTGGAGGGATTAAGGGAACTTAAACAGGCTTAAACTGGAAGGCAGTCAGGTTTTTCTCTGTTCTTTTCTGTAGATTTTTTGACATTTCTGTTGGCTCACACCAGAGAAAAGTGTAGTTGGAGTGCTGATGTTTTTAAGCAAGATGGAGGTCCATTCCTCTAAGCACAGTCCAAGGCAAATGCAAATCAAATAGCCACCCATTGTTCTCCTGTATTGTTGAAGTCTATATGTTAGGCCTCTCTAATCATGTGTGTTCTGATGTAGTTTGTTTTGGATGAGTTATAAATGTTTGGAAGTTAAACCCTTCCGTTCAGTGACAGTTGGACAAAGATGGCTTCCTTTACCCCTCTCTCAAACCATCTGTGCTCTCTCCTAAATCTTAACATTTCAGTCAAAGGTGTGGCTGAAAATGTAAACAGACAATTAAAGGAACAGCACTATTCCAACCTGGAAAGACTCACACAGAGAAAATCTGCACTTAGAAAAGTTTTATTGACATGAAAGAAATAAGTTGTTTGGTGCTTGGGCCCCGGCAAAAGACTGATGCTGTGAATAGACATTCGCTTGGATTAGTAACCTACAAGGATTGGTGTAGTAAGCCAGAGGTTGAGTAGGATTGCACTTCACTGTGAATCTGTTACTAGATTTTGTAAAAGTAGAATGATAGGCAGATATTTTAGAAATCAGGCTCCTCTCCTGTGGAACCAATTACCAGTTTTAATCCATGCTGTGATGGCCTTAGATTGCTGCAGAAAAAGGGGCAAATTTTTATCATTATCGTTATTATTCTGTATCTATTATTAAATTTTCCTTCATTTGTTAGTTCAACCTCTAAACTTAAGTTCTCTCTTCTTTTTCTTGTCATATTAGTTTCATCTGGCCTGGTCTTGTTAGCTGTGACACCATCCTAGAAGGATAGCTTAACTGCTGCAATTAGCAACTTCCATCAGAGATGATAGAGTTACACATAGAAATAGATATGGACTCAGCTTTTACTGTGACTAATTGTTTGAGCTGTCTTTCATCCCTTTTGATAAAAAAATGATGTCATAACTCATCTGTCAAGTCTTACTGTTAGAGGAGCTTTGCTAAACTTTCCATCCA